TCTAGATGAAGGCTTTCCTGACCACTTGATTTAAACACAAATCAATCCCTTTTTCCTGTCTCCCTTTTTCCTCCTCTCCTTTCCATCTCACTCTTTCTCTTTCTTCCTTTCTCCCTTCTCTGCTTAAATTTTTCCACAGCCCCTTTTACCTTCTGCATTGCTACATATTTTATTTCTGTATAAATATAGCAGCTGTCTCTCCTCATAAGAAAATGTGCTCCATATACAGGGGTTTTTATTTTTACCTGTTTTGATTACAGCTATTGACCAACTCCCAAATGTAGCACACAATCAATAAGAACTTGTTGAATAAATCAGAACATGAACGTGCACAGCTACAGAAAACCCCAAGTTTGGCTAAAGAATTCCTTTACTTCACTGTTTTTGAAAACAATTTCTCTCTACAAAGATTATCCATTACAGCTTGTCTAAATCAACAAAAAAATCTGAATTAGGTACTCCAAAAACCACTTAAAAAAAGTTATCTCTATGTTAAAACTTAATCGTGTTTTGTTTTATTGACTGATTCCACATTCCACCCAAAACGATAAATAATGAAAGGGTAGGTAGTAGATAAGCATAATCATAAAACAGATTGTATCAGAATTTAATGTTCCTGCTTGAGTACTTACAGCCTAATTAGAAGGATCTGATTACCTGAGCTATAGAGGCCTGGGGATTACCCAGTAAGTTTTTGAAGGAACGTCTGGAAATCCACCTGAGTTGATGACAGAAGGAGGTGGCATAGGTGATCTCCTTGAAGGCTACGTTCTTATTCTTTTTCTGCACCTCTGAGAGTTGATCTAACTCAACTTTCGTTTCTCTGAAGAAGGCGGAGATGACATAAAATTCGGCTAATTTTTCTATGAGTGGCTTATCTCTCTTGGAAGGCTTTTCGGTCTCCTTGCCTTTGTAATAAAAGTAGATAGAGGAAAACATTAACAAAATGACTGATTTAGCCCATTTTTCTGAGCTAAAGCTTGAGCATAAAAAATTTTGTGCTCTGTCATTGCTTTACACATTAGAAAGATATAATTAATTGGCCTGACTACTTCCATAAACTGTGGATACAGCAAACCAGCTGACCTTTCCCTAACTATAATATGTGCACCGTGATTCTTCTAAAATAAACTTCTATCCTTGGGGAGTAGTAATTCTTAATATAAAACCTCGTCTTTGCTTTCTGCTATGTGCAAATGCATAAACTGCCAATTCTCTTATTGTGAAACACTTTATAAACAATGAGTGTATTTTTTAATAGAAAACTCCTCTTAGAACTGACACTATCAGATAAATGCTCATTTATAAATCAAATCAGAAGCACTTACAGCACTCCTGGACAACAAAATCTGTTTTGACTGGTGGTATAGACTGAATGTTTGCGTCACTCCAAAATTCGTATACTGAAATCCAGTCCCCAACATGATAGTATTTGAAAGTGGGGACTTTGAGGGGTGATTACGTCATGTCATGAGGATGAAACCCTCGTGAATGGGATCAGTGCCATTATTAAAGAGGCCCCAGAGAGCTCTGTCTCCATTTCCACTATGTGATGAGATAATGAGCAGATTGTCGTTTGTCTATGAACAGAAAGCAGGGCCTCACGAAACATCAATCTGCTGGCGCCTTATCCAGACTTCCTAGCCTCCAGAACTGTGAAAATTGAATGTTTGTTGTTTAAGTCACCTAGCCTATGGTATTTTTGTTACAGCAGCCTGAGCAAACTAAGATAAATAGTATCAGAGAACAGCATTAGTAATATAAATTCATAAAACCACATTCTAATGAGTTACCACACTGCTACATGTCAGCCAATTCAGTTAGGTGACAATCTGTGACTCTCAACAGGTTCACATACCTTCACCATCTTCGTCCTCTTCGCTTAATACCACAGCAGAGGAGTCTCCATTAATCACATCCAGGAAGAAGTCTGCAGGGTTGTTATAGGGCTCACAGTGGTGACCTACAAAAGAAGGCAACTCCGGTACACAGACATGATGGTCTTGGAAGATACTCATCTTCTCTCTTTTCCCCTCACCAAGTTACCCTTTCTTTTTGTGTATTCAGTCACACAATATGTTAATTCTTTTTTTCCTGGAAAAAAACATACTCTAACCCAAGCTTGGATTCTCAGAAAGCCTTACCTATCGTAATTCATAAAATAGTCATCAATATGCTCTGGTGTTTATTAGTACTTCTTTTAAAATCTAAATGTCAGTCCAAGAAAAAAAAGTTGAAAAGAAAATAAAAAGCTGTAGGTAGGACTAATGCTCCTCAAAGCAAGGCGTCAAGCAAAGCAGCACAGGGACCGTTCTATTCTCTGAGTTCACCTAGGCACTGCCAGTATCCCACTACAGCAATGGTTCCTTCTCCATCAGCTAAATTCAGGTCCAAATCATCATCTATTATGCTGACATAATTCCAATATAGAGAACAAATCACTAGAGCAGCATTCTCATGAGGACATGACCAGCATAGCACACCTACCTGAAGGCTTGCCTTGACTTCTTGTGCCTGATCATCTGAACTCAACTTGGCCTATAGTCTGACTCTTAGATTTCTCTCCCCTAGACTACCCAGATCCATGTGTGCTTGATTATTTTAAATGATAGAGTCAACAAAAACAAATTTTAAAAGATAGAGACTATTTAAAATTATAGTTGGTCATGGAGCATGATCTATAATAATTTCCAAATAGCTCTAAAATGAAGCAGACTGCATGAACTATAAAAAATATTATATCCATCTGAAATAGAACCAGGAAGCTCAGAACTATCATAAATGTTGGCCCATCATTGACAAACTCAGGAGTAGCCATTCTCTTGACAGGTAAGACACTCACATCAACTCCAGGCCTAAATCTGTAATCTGATGCTACTAGAAAATTAAGCGGTATCTCCATGAACCCTCATAAATGCAGACCAACATCCCATGCAAAGGGAAAAAATGATCTGTTGTATGATCAAGAAGACAAATGATCTGGGGGTATTAGACCTTTCTAAGAATGTTCAACTGACAGATAACTGCTATGAGGCCAACATATTTATTAAACTGTTAGAAAAAAGTCACCAGAACTGGGAAGCAGAACAGATATAGGCCCAGGAAAAATAGTCTTACACATACACAGAGTATGTATGCATACTCATTTAGGACAAGAAAAAGACCTAAATAACAGTCAGTGCTATAAATGAAGGAAAAAAGCAACAAACTGACCAAACATATACTCGAGTAGTGGAACCCATAATACATCTACTCAAAGATCAAACAGAACTCTCGTCTACCTCTTCTGCTCTCTTTCAATATTATATTAATGAAGGATCTCGGTGCATGAAAAAGGCAGCCATACCAGTGGATGCAAAGTACCCCAAGGCCTCCTGAGCAAGCCCATGGAACATTAGTCTTCCTGAGGCCAATAAGGTGAGGCTATCAAACAACTTGAAGATGGAATAACGAGGCTGATGAATGGAGAAGATGATGGTTCGGCCCTGTTTAGACATCCTAAGTTAAAAATTGAGAAAATAACATGTCATTAAACTTCTGAAATGTGCACTTCTTAGCAAAATACTTTATTCCTGCCTTTAGGTCCTTAACCCTAATTCAACTTGATTTTCTCTTACTAACTTCTCATTTCATGTTATCTCCCTATTAAGGAACCTAAATTCAATGCTTTTATGAAAGACTGTTTCTTAAAATGCATCCCATGAATGATCTAGAATCAACTACAACATTAACTAAAACTCCAGATTCCTTGACAGTCTTCCCAGACCTCTTATGTCTTGGTAATCCACATTTTAAAAAAGCAGCCATAAAACTTGTAAGTACATTCAAGTCTGAGAACTTATTACAGACTAAATATCAAAACAGTGGTTGTATGCCCCTTTCTCATTGATCATTGAAGTCTTCTGCTCTTTAGAAACTGGTATTCATTCTTCTATCCTAATAATACAATTAACTTTACTGAGTACTTACGATGTCTTCGTTAAAGGCTTTATAGATAAATCCATCTAAATTTTCACAATATAGTTACAAGGCAGTTATGAGGCAATATTGACAATGCCAATAGTATTATTGCCTTCATTTTCTAGAAAAGGCTTAGAGCGTTAAGCAACTGGCCTAATGTGTCACAGATGTAAGTGGCAGAGCTGAGATTTAATGACTCATGGTCAAAACATTGCTAAACTACCTTTACACAGGATTTATTACCAATGGGTAGAAGAAACAAAGGCCAAAATCACTGTTTAAAAACTGTTATTATTAAATATATATTATGAGAAGAATCATTCAATTTTAGCATTTTCTATGCTTAGCAGTGTATACAAGTTTGTTATGCATCAAAGAGAATCAGGCCAGTATTTCAATCATTTCAATACAAAGTGAAATAGAAGTAGGTGAGAGTTCTTTGTAAGCAAAATAGATTATAACCCAGTCTGAAGATGATTTAAGAATAATGTCAAAGGAGCCAACGGGAATAAGTCATAGAAAGAAAAAGGGTAGTCAAGGTGAAGAAACATGGAGAAAAAAGTGTGCAATGACAAGGTCTATTCAGGAAACTACACGTAGTTCATTGTCACTGCAAAATTGGGTTGGGGGGGTGGGGAAGAGAGAAACTAACAAAAGAAAATGCATTAATAAACAAGGCTGTGACGAATCCCTTTACTCTGAAGCTGGAACTTTAGTCAGTAGACAATAAGTAATCGGTACAGTATTAGAAGCAAGTAATGGACTGGTGTGAAAGCTTTGCTATTAAGGACCAATGGCATCAGTTATCAGTATCTCCTATTAGAAATGGGGAATCTTGGGCTCCACCTCAGAGCGGCAGAAACCGATTCTGCATTATAACATGACGCTAGGTATTAGTGTGCATAGTGGAGTTGGAGAAAGACTGGGTTAGAGCGTTCAGCATGAGGAAAGATGCTTGCATGCTAACTGGTCTGAAGCATAGTGAAAATATTTACAGTATTCTTTAGTAATTCATCAGTCCCTAGCGAACACTGTTTTAACATAGTTACAGATAATAAAAATACCACAGAAGTATTCTCTAACTGAACTTGAACCCCAGACTCATTACTTGGCATCTTTACTTAATATGTACAATTGACATTCCAAACTTATGATGTCTAAAATCTTAAACTTCTTTCCATTTCCTTCTTCTCATCCTAGCATAGAGACTTGCTTACAAATGCATGAAGATCAGAGGAAGCAACGTAATAATAGGGAAGGAATGCCATACGAAAGTGGTGTGTCTGGCATCTTTTTAAAAATGGAGCCGGGAGAAGGTGGTTCCCAGGGATGGTAGGTAAAGAGAATGGGCAGAGTTAGGTCATACTGAGCAATTAAGTTAGTTGGCTATGCAATTAAGTAAATATCTTGAAATAATGGGAGCCAAGTTTCTCACTGTCTGAAAGGTCACTTATAAACATGGAAAGGGTAAAGAGAAAAACAGTACTCAGGTGTTAGTTTCGAATTGAAAATATTACTATGAACTTATGGAAAACTTTTTTACAGCAGAATGTGAACTAATATATGAGGAAAGAATGATGTAAACAGAAAATCGCACTAGTACTTGACACAGAAAGAGTTGTTAGTGCATGCTGAAACTGCTGGGTGGACATTTGATGAGGAACAGGATATTGGCATTACATCTGATTATCTCCCCTGACAAAATACGGATTAATTACAAAGGGATAACTAGCTATTTCAGAGCAGGTAAACCCAGCAGACACGCACATGTCCAGGTAATGGAAGTTAACATCACCCAGAGCCATGCAGCCCCTGATGTTATACAGCCAAGAACACATCCTCCTTTCTGTGGCATCCCTGTCAAGAATTCATGGCCTGATCTAGTCACATAAAAACTTACTGGCTGGACCTAGGTTGAGGGCCACCCTATATATTTACTCTCAAAAACAGATGAGGACATGAGAGGTAAAAAAAAAAAAAAGAATAAAGAGCTGCTCAGGCTTAAAGAAGAGAATTCCTACCTGAAAATTATATAATTGTATTAACCAATGTTACTCCAATAAACTTAATTAAAAAAAAAAAGATATTAAACACATTAAGAAAAAAAAAAAAGAAGAAGAGAATTTCTGCAGAGGAGCCTCAGACACAGAAAGGAAAAAGAGACACTCCCAGGACAGTTGCTGAAGTCTGAGTAGAGTCTGTGGATTGGGTGGCGTCTGTGGATTGGATGGTGGCAGTGGTATCAATGTGACTTCCTGGCTGGGAGGTATATAAGATGATAATGTAAAAGAAGTGTCCTTATATTTTGGAGTTACATTACAGTGTATTTTTGGGTGATGAGGAATGATGTGAAAAAAAAAGACAAAAAAAAAATAGGTGTGGATAGGGGAGAGGCAAAGGGAGAGCAAAAGCAATTAAATGCTAAGACTCGGGGAAGCTAGGTAAGGAGACATGGGATTTCTTTGCATAATTCTTGTACTTTTTCTGTAAAGAGGTAATTAAGGCTGAGAAAAGTCCTATGGGTGAGCCTTAATCCAATAAGGACTAGTTCTTACAAGAGGAGATCACAACATTGACACACAGAGGGAAGATGAAGTGAAGACACAGAGAGAAGACAGCTACCTAGAAGCCAAAAACAGAGGCCTCAGAAGACACAATCCTGACGACACTGTAATCCTGGACTCCAAGACTAAAAAAATTAATTTCTGTTGTTTACATAACCCAGTCTGTGGTACCATATTTTGGAAGCTCAAGCAAACTAATACACTAACCAAGCTCTGCTCTCCTTAGGTCATTGGGTTCCATCCCACTGGCCCCTTGAGTTCGAAACACATTAGGCATGGGCTGCCTCAGGACCACTGGCTGTTCCTTCCAACTAGAACTCTCTCCTCCCAGACATCTAGGTCTTGCTCACAGCTCAAATGGCACATCACTGAGGTCTTCCCTGACTATCCCACTATGTAACAGGGCACCCACCACCCCCAACACAGCAGTCCTCCCTACACTTTCATCCTGCTTCATTTTTCTTCAAACACTTATATTTGTTAATTGACTGATCCTCTACAACAAAGAAGGAACAAATGTCTATCTCTTGGGCTCACTGCTGAATCCCTTGCACCAGGAATACTACCTGGCACATAGTAGGTGATCAGATAGTGCATAAATATTAAAATAATGTTCCTATAGCATTTACCTCTTCAGGAGCAAAAGGACAGCATTTGCTGTGCTTGAGTCTAGGCCTGTTGTGGGCTCATCCAGGAACAAGATGGATGGATCGATAATAAGCTCCATTCCAATACTAGTCCTTTTTCTTTCTCCCCCAGACACACCACGGATAAACTGAGTTCCAACCTTAAACACAAATATTATCATTATTAACAATAACAACCATAGCCACTATAGTTTCTTAAGCTATTAACATGTGCCAACCCTGTAAGAGGCACTTTATCTCACATCCTCATTTATGCTGAACAGCAAATAAATGAGTATCTGGGAGAAGAGGTAGGTTTCTCTTTAATTAGATGAGTAGACTGAGGCTCAAGTCAGAGCTGGTATGTGGCTAAGCCTCATATGAAGCCCGTGCTTTAAACTGTTCTATATGTTCCTTACCAAGTCAAATATTTAGCTTTAAGATTGTATGTTAGAACTTACAGATATTGCCCTGACTATGAAATCACAGTCCAAAAAGGGATAAAAGATATGAGAGAAAATGATGAAAGTATCTATAATTTATAAGTCTTCTTACACTTCTCTTTTTCTCTCCCACCAAGAAAAATCCTCAAATGGACTTACAAGAAGAACTGGGCCTTGGCGGCTAAAAAAGTTCACTTTCTACCATTCACATTAGCACTTCTTAGAACACTACAAGGCTTCCCAAACTGACCCTGTCTATACTTTTAATGCATGGCAGAATTCCTGACTCATTCTTTTAGACAAATTCAAGATGACTGGCTCAGTCTTTTCAACCACTCGATGTCACTGTGTGTGACTGGGGGAGGTGGAAGACTTTAGGGGAGGCAAGAGAGAGGAAACAATTCTTATAGTAAGAGTCTTCGAGAGATAATCATTAAATGTTACTCATGTCCTTTATTATATCCCATAAGCACTGAGCTATTAAAGGCATTTTAAGACAACTGGAAAAATGTGAATGAATATGGGCTCTATCTATATAACCGATATTAAAATATTATTAATTTTGTTAATTGTTAATGATATTGCAGTAATGTAGGCAAATGCCCTTATTTTTTAAAAAGATACATAAATATTCAGTGGTAAAATTTAATGTTTATAAATTTTTAAAAAATAGTTCATAAAGACAAACCTGAAGACATTATTGAATGTTTAACAACTGGAAAATCTAGGTGCATGTTATTTATCACATCATATTATAAATTATACTACAACTATGTCATTACTGTAGTAATCAGACTATTCTCTCTACATTTCTGTTATGTTTAATTTCATAAAAAGTAAACATTTTTACTATGGTGTTTCAATCAATTAGATCAAGGAATTCCAAGAAGTCATCAATTGCCTTCAGCTTCTTTTCCCTGGAAATCCATGCAAGGAACTCAGGGCAATGGCTGCCCAAAGGTAAAGAATGGAAAGCACTTACTGGAAAGACAAAATCAAATAAACAGAACCCCAGCACAGGGAACCCAAACACTCATAAAACAAACAAAAGTGGTAAACGGTAGCATCTCAGAGTTATTCTTCCAAATAAAATAAAGCAAAATACATTTTACATAAAAGGCTGTCAGAAAGTATTAAATAAAGCAGTGACCAGCAGAATACTCCCATTCTTCATTACTCTAAGGAAGAGAGATCGCAGGGGGATTAAACTAAAGCCATGACAATCTAAGAAGTTCATCTTCACCCAAAACTTCAAATGTCCTCCCAGCAAACCTTCCATACCTATTTATCAACTGTAAAGTGCACTCATTCATCTCATTTCATCTTCCTGATCCTGCACAACTCACATAAGCAGTTACTTTGTCTCCCTTGCCCATGGCTGTAATCTATAAAACCTAAGGGAGACCAGCACATGACAGTTTGCAAGTGATACTGGCCAAAGGAAGAGGGGAGAGAGAAAGGGAAAGAAGACAAAGTACCAAAAAGAAAAAAAAGTGGTATAGAAAAACAACTTGGATGCCACAAGAATTAGAAATAAACCCTAATCTGACTGAATATAACATTAGAAGCCAAATTTTAGCACAATGAAACATACAGAGCAAGATCCCATGGATTTTCATCATTTATGAATTCCAGAAAGATACCTCCAAAGCAACAGAACAAAGACCCCTGGAGGAAGAAAGGAAGAATAGCTAAGAAGAGAAGGAGAAAATAGAAAGAAGGAAAGTTAGTGTACAGATATTGAGACTGGACTTAAACAATTAGTGTGGAGGAGGATCAAAAACTGTAATCACAGAGAAGAGGCACGTGACTTTGCAAAGAACACGTCTACTACTAGACCACACTGCCATACCTCATTTCCAGGATTCAATCATTTTTTTACTTTACCCTCGTTAATTTCCACCTACATATTATGTAACTGGTCACTTTGCTCTTAGATATGGAAAGCACCCACTTTTGACCACTCGCATTATAGAAAACTTCTAAATGAGTTATATTATCAAAAAAAAAAAAGTTACAGTATCACACAGGAAAGGTCCTATGTTCTGGCAATGTTACCATCCATTTTCCACATTACCTTGGAATCTGCCACTTTAGCCAGACCTAACTCTTGAATGACTGTGTTAATTCGTTCATTTTTTTCATGTTGCGTCATAGTTGTTGGAAGCCGAAGAGCTGCTGAGAACTGTAAATTTTCTCTCACTGTCAGAGTTCCCATCACGACATCATCCTTAAGGCAGAATGGCATTTTAGCAAAACATATCAGGTCTTTTCTAGTCCCCTTATTCTTTAGTGTATAAAACTTAATCCACATAAATAACATACTCAAGGGAAAGTTTTAGCTAATTATAAACCTGTAATTATACAAATTATAATAATCCATATACAAATAGATGCAAAGCCTGACAAATAATTTTCATTCAGAATCTGTACACCTGAATAGAACACAGGTAATTATAACTATTACTAGCAGACATTTATAGACTGCTTTTCACAAATATTGTCAAAATAGTTTTCTAAGCAAGGGGAAGGAGAAAAGTGAAGGTAGGGAAAAAAGTAAAACAGCAGTATCTTTCGGTAATGTGATGACTAGAATTGCTAACGTTGCCCTTACAAGGGTCATATTCCATAACTAGCATTCATATCACTGTCCTGATAAGGGTCATATTCTATTCTCTGTGCCTTTTCATTTAATACTACGTATTATGGGAGATTATCAAAAGCTGGTTTAAAGTATGTTGGTTCTATGACATGGGCATAGAACTAACGGGAAGCATACTAAACTATCAGCCAAGGTACATGCTCACATAGAAACAGGAGAAATCTAAAATGCAAATTCACAAATACTTACTTGTACCACATAACCTGAGTTACATTTGAAATTGGCAGGTCGAGGTGCTCCATTTATCAAAACATCTCCAGATAATCCTCGTGGATCTTTCCTTGCAGCTAAGATATCTAACAACCTACAAAAAGGACATATATGTGGGTACTAGGCTTACTGGACTGATCACTTTGTAAGGTATATAAACGTCTAATCACCATGATGTACATCAGAAATGAATATAATATTGTATGTAACTATAATTGAAAAATTAATTTTTTAAAATATATATTTTTAAAAGGGTATAGATTCTTTTAAACGCAGGCTATATGTCTTAGCTACTCTGAATCCAAATTCTGTTCAAGTTAGAAAATTAACTGATCAAGAATTTCTATGTTTCAACTATTATTATATAGTCTTCTAATTCTTGTCTTCCTTTTTCCTCTATGCTACAATAAAGCCCCCAAACATGAAAGCACTGTTGGCTGACCCAGCACAGAGCTCCCAAACTGCCCTGTAGGCTGTGTGACCTTGGGAAATCAAACACAGGCAATGTGCTCTGTTAGCTGGGACTCAAGTCTTCACTTATGCCTTCAGCTCCATCTCCCCACTTTCAGTTTTATCCTCTTCCTTTTCTGCCTCATTAGCTCAAATTCACAGCTGGCAGCTGTATGCCAACCACCTTATCACGTCCTGTCAGTATAGCTGACCTAATGACCTCTATTCCTCTGGACAGAACCACGGCATAACTGTGTGTGATCCGTAGCACCTACAGCAGGCTAGGCATGCAGTAATGCGCTACAAATACCTCCTAAAAGTGATCTTTAAAAGCACATTAAAATGGCAAAGAAAAACCTTACTGATGTTCTCTGCTATACTCACGAAGATTTGCCTCCACCTGTGGGTCCCAGAATGGCGTTGAGGCCAGGTCTCATGATCCCACTGTAAATGCAGAAACAGATTTACCGGTTCACTTTAAACCCAGTTCTACTAATTTAGGGTTTGCATTTCATAACTCTTGATAAAAGTTGATGGAATTAGACAGAAAACAAGCACAAACTGCTTTTAAAGGAAAAAGAAATCCAATGATTGATTAATAGAAGTCCAGCATACACAGAATGTCATTACTAGTCAGAATCTATAAGAAAAAAAGGCTCAGGTCCATCTAAATTCCTTCCACTTATTCTCTAAACCACTTACATTTTATTCAAAAGGACACATAAACTTTCAAGGTTCTTTTTTAAAAAAAAAGACTCTAGTAAAGCCTCTGTTATACTTATCTTAACACAAGGCAAAGTCTTGAGCAATATTTGATAATAATTATCTAATAGTCACCTCATTTGCTACTTAGTCAAGTTCTACACAATTAAGAAGTCAATGGATTTATAGAATCACCAGTATTAGTGTTCTCACTGCTTGAATCTAGTCAGACCAAGAAACAATATATTTGAAGTAGAAATTTAATGGCTAGAAAAAAGCACCTCAGGCATTACAAAAAAACAAAAACAAACAAAAAAACATCTCACCGGTTCTTAACCCTTAGAGACTACTTAATCAAATTGGAAATGTAAAATACATACCCTTCAAATATATGATTTTTTTCTTCCCTGTAAAGTGTCAGATAAGTAAACAGGAAACTTCTCAGTTTAGAAGAGAAGACGCCACTTTCTTAAGGATGTACAGATGTGGTGTAGACACTGCATGTTCCCAACAAATTACGTAGATGTTTAAGGGTAGAGAATATTCAGACAGAGAGCAGGAAAGTAGAAAAAATTAAGGCAGTGTTGACTGTGCTGAGAATCAAGAAAAAAGCAAATAAGTAGTCTGAATTTTATCCTGAAGGTAACCGGTAGAAAGGTAAGAAGAATGGACTGGAGCAAGGAGAATGAGGGGCGGGACCACCGCAGTTACATGGGCATGATGAAACGGGGTCTGATGAAGCCCTTTCAAAACCCTGGTGTCTACACCAATCTCTGTACGATGGGGAGGCAAGTAAAATTTATCACCCAGAGAAAACTATTCCAAGTAGAAAGGGTAAAGTGGAAGGCTTTTTATTGCAAATAATGCCTTTCACAGAGGCAAGCACTATGCTACACAAGTGTCATGAGTGATAAACTTCACAATGCAGCTGTATCACAGTGCTTCAATCCAGGAGGACCTCCGCATTTTCTGCCTATTGTGTTTGAACTGTCACAAGGGTAAAATGGCTGGTGGGTGCTAGGGTGAATGAAGTGTACCTTCCACTCTGCTCATTAACTGAGAAGCCTCTCACTGAAACACTGGACAAATACAGTGAGTTAGGTAAAACAACCTATAAAACAGGAAAATATTTTATTCTTTCTGAGACCTTTCCCCCGATGTAGAAATATATGCTAATGGCTGGGTGAACTTTCAAGATGCATTTATCTGTAGCTCTTGATGTGCTTTCTCTAGTAATAGCTACCTAGTAACTGTTTCTAAAATAACTAGAAATCAGCTTGTTATTCACTAAGATTTCCTTGTCAGAAAAACTTTCCAGGCTTTTACAAAATCTACTCAAAAAAGACCAAGCAACACTAAATGATTAACCCAAAACTCAATGTGAACTTTCTAACTCAAAGGATTTTACAGACCTCTGAGTTGGGCTTCCTTTGGCACTAAACCCTAGCATTACGCAAAACAAAAAGAGACCATCACAAATGCAAGAGTTCCAGTTTGGAGCAGTGGTGAATTCTTCATTCAACACAATTATTCAATATCTACTTTGTGTATAGAAGACACTCTTCTAAAATATGGGTCAGGGTTAAGGATAAAACAAAGTCCTAGCTCTCCTGGAGTTTACATTCTAGTTCAGGGATCAGAAAACTACAGCTGTTCACATTTTCTGTTTGCATCAATGAAGTGTTATTGTAACAGAGCCATGCTCACTCACTTATGACAATGGCTCTTTCATGCTAAAATGACAGAGTAATTGCAACACAAAAGTACAGTCCATAACACTGAAAATATTTACTATCATGCCCTTTACAGAAAAAGTTTGCTGACCTCTGTTCTATTCCATGGTCTCCATTTCCTCTGTTGCCCTACACTGCCCTCCACTCTAGAATCATCCTTCAAAATCCATTCCTCACACTTATTTATTGCTTGATAATATTTGTATGCAAGAAAGTCTCCCTTGCTATACTGTAAAACCATGCAGATAAGAACTGTGTCATCTTTCTTTACTCTCAACTCTATAGCATGCAGCACGATGGTCTAAAATGGGTAGATGATTAAATACTAAATACATAAAATGAAATCTAATTACAAGATTCCTGCCACATCTATTATATTTTCGTGAATAATTGTAAAGCCTTTGGTCTCACTTTATGGGCAGAAAGTCAATGTCATTCCCACTGCTCAGAGTGTAGTCCTTCTCAAATACACACACACACACACACACACACACACACACACACACACACACACACACACTCGTCACTTTCTCTCTCCCCATGCTCCTAGCCCTCCAACTTAGGGTTACAGACTTCCATCTTGTCTTCTAATTCCTCTATCACAGTAGAACACAGTGAAGTGCTCTAGTTGTCTGAATCTCCCATTAGATTAAAAGGTTTCTGACAACAGAGGATATGATATATCTTTGTCACTAGCAACTTGCACAATGTCAGGCACCTAACAGACATTCAAAATTTGTTGAATAAATGAGTCCCTACATTTTTATAAATGACAATTACTTATAGGAAAATCAAATGTTTTCAATAGAAACAAATGTCAAGAAGTAGGGAATAACTTATAGATAATAAGTATAGCCTGACTGGAAAATAGGTAGTTACATTCCCTACTTACTATACTATGTTCAAAGAATACATCAGTCATGGCTATTAGACTCTACCTTCCCTTCACAGTGCGAAGGTGATGGAAGTGCTGGGTGGAGGTGCAGCAACCACCAGCACCCAAGAACACAGGCCGCAAAGGAGGTGAGAGAAAGAGAGGAGACAGCTATGGGGTGGAGAGATAGCTTATATTAAGGAATAAGAAAATTGATTAAGTCAGTCAATATATTAAAAATAATGAGAGCCAAGTTTTTCACTTTTGGGGAAAATGTTTAACGAACATCGAAACATGGAAATAACCCTTGGGTGTAAGATCAGAATTAGAGGTCATGGGTTTTAATGTATATGCAGACAGATATAAAAAGGTTTAGATGTGTATATATGAATATACATACATATGTTCCCTAGGGCTGTCCACTGAGGAGGCCTGGGAGCTATGATGACCCAACAGCAATGAATGTTCCAAACACCCAGATCTGGGTTGGTAAATACAAACTCCACAAAAAGGTACATCAGCTCATTCCAGATCTGAGGCAGGGTAAGCACACAGTGAGTCTGAAACTTCTTGCTGTGCCAGCAAAATACTCAAAGAATGAGAGAATTTGTCAAAAGTATGAATTTAAAAAACAAACAAACACAGAACCTACCTTGAAAGGTCTCCCACTGACCAAATTAGGAACAATAGAAATTTCAAGGTAGATAATAATAATGCATTACTATTGAATGCTACTGAATAAAACGTAAATCCATGAGTCTACACTGATATAAATAAATGAGGCAATGCCAAATAAAGCTTTTTCCTTTTAGTAAAATGAAAACTACTCTATACAGAAGAGATGGATGAAAACAGAAAAATCACTCTTTGGTAACTATCATAGTGACAGTTATTGTTGATTCAGGAACGGTCATCAAATGGGCCAAAGCTGGTGGGTTGAGGTTTAATGAACAATAGAGTTTTGGAATAATGTCAGGTTATCTCTCCTCACGATATTTATTAATTACAAAGGGGGAAATGGTAACATTAGAGTGAAGGCTGGCAGACACCAACATGACCAGGTGACCAAGGTTAACATACCTGGAGTGGGACAAGAAAATGCCAGGTTGGATGAGACTAAGGGGAGAGACATGATGTCATAGTCAGCCAGCTATGCAAAGAACATGGTTAACCAAAAGCCTCTTAGAGCCCACCACTGCATCCATTATGGCGCTTTGCTTCTCCTGGGCTACTCCCAGACAATGACTGAGTGGTTATATTGGAGAGGGTCCTCATTTCCTTATTTCTAAAAAATATACACTGAAGGACTTAGGGATAATTGAGCTCCATATAGATAGCTTGCTCTCAAATGATTCAGAATAACACTAATGACAATGGGTATCCAAAGAGACAAAATGACTAGCAAATGCAGTAAAAAGTTAACAGGTAGGAAATCTGGGTAAAAGGATTATGTTCCCACAAGGTTTGAGTTTGAAATTATTTCCAAATAAATTATAATTTTAAAAACCTATGTATATAATGAATTTCCCTGATGATTATAGGATATCCACCCATGTAGTGGAATGTACCATTTTTTTTTTTTTTTATACATCTTCAGCATTGGTGAGAATAAGCTCGAATGCTGGGTATGGAGACAAACTAAGCGTAGCAGAAATATTTTCCATAAGGTAGTAAAATCTTACCTTTTTGAATTCTCATAGTCAGATTTTGTTTTATCCTCTTACCCCCACAGAGAACATCAAATTCTAGTTACTTATGTCTAAAACATGAGATTACAAAAAAGTTCCAAAGGAAAAACAGAAATTATTGGACTTTTTAGAATATAAACAGTATTTTGAATGATTATGGTGCAATCAAACATAAGTCAAAAATAAGATATATGAAAGCAACCTTTATTCCATCCCAGAAACACTATTTAGTAGAAGATAGAAAATAGAAAAAAAATTAGAAATGCTACATTGAATAAAACGGAAGCCCTTTCACATGGATGCCTAAACCAGAAATATGAGTAAACAGGAAATCCCTGATATCCTAAGAGACTCATCGGAGAGATCACTTCACAAGGTATATAAATTTCTAAACACTATGCTGTACATCTGAAACTAATATAATATTTTATGTCAACTATAATTGAAAAATAAAATCATTTTTAAAAGGAAAAAAAAGTGTGACACTGTTTTTATTAACCTAGGAATGCAGGTGAAGATGGACTCATCTATTGGTAGAATGCATACCACTGAACCATAAAAACATGATGAAGCAGTGATTAGATGACATTTTTAGTGTATTAACTGTACTTAATACAGTTAAGAGCATTAAGTTACTAATCTTAAAAACATAAGCAAGATAAATGTATCCTTGCACAGCATTCATTTGAAATCCATTCAATCTGTACATAGTCAAGTTGTGTTACCTTTCACTTAGCACAAAATTTGTAGTGACCAACTTGATTGTGTTCCACAAAAAAAGAGTCACCTTTCAAAAAAGTCAGTCAATTCTATCTAGGCATGTAGCAAAAGATAAAAGTTTTGTGTCTACCGTTCCTCTCCATATTTTCTTAGTCAGGGTTTCTTTTAACCAACACAAGAAACCAAGAAAGTAGGCTTGACAGTAGTGTTACTACATGAAGAAAGTTCTATCTAACCCTACACAGCCCCTGACATTGCCACACACAATCAATCTCAGATCCCCATCGTTTCTTCCCTACCCACACGCAAAAATTTTCTCCCTTATTTGTCATTTCCTAGCCTTCTGGGAGCAGTTGGCTGCTAGTGACAGAAAAGGCCACAATCCCAGAGAAAGCCTCAAGAAAACATGAGAAACATCTGATTCTATATAGGTCTGCAGCCACACCTGGCCAAAGTGTTCTTATAACCACTCCTTCAGTCTAAGAGAATTAGAAAAGGCTGCCAGTCTTATCTAGGAAGAATTATTCCCCCTCCAACAAATAAATTAACAAAAATTAACAAAACAAAACACAGAGGCCATGCTGTCTGAGCAAATCTAGACGTACTTCCCAAATCACAGAGAGGAAGAATCAGGCTCAGTTCTCTAGAAATAAGAAAAACATGAACAATCCTAATGGCTATCATCTGTGAAAGAAGAGCGATACTTGGTACCTACTAAATTCTTTTCTCATTACCCTCCCCACTCCACTGCCCACGCCACCACCAGGTGATGAATTCATTGCTGGAAGAAAATAATGAAAATCGTAGTTTTATATTCATTTGGATCCTAAATTTTCCATCACACTGTTCTGCAGCAACACACCTTAAGCTAAGCTAGAGTTGTCTTATATGTAAGTTGCTCCTGTCTGTCTGTATGATTGGGGAAAACATTATACAAATTGCTATAGATTATAAACGACTACAAATAGGCCACTCATTGAAAACAAGTCTATTGAAACCCAAAGTACTTTTACAATATATTGTCATTTCAACCTCCTGACTCTTTCTTCTAGAATATAAGGACATAAAGTGCATAAGTACTTAAAGTGTCTGGCTCATAAAGTACAGTGATAGATCTTTTATCTCACAGATTAGAAAACTGAAGCTCAGAGATTATAATTATATTTCCACAATCGAAAAATCAGAAGTCATACGTCCAGGCATCTTTCAACTAAACTGCAAGAGTTGCCCAGGAAAAACTAAATAACACATTAATTATTCAGCTTCTCAAATGAAAGTTGATACATGTGGTACGACCACTTTAAAAATACTTTAGCAGTGCTTTTAAAAATTAAACATATACCTAACACATGATCCAACTATTTCACTCAGTTAAACCAAAAGAAATGAAAGTGTGTCTATACATCTGTAGACACGTGTACAAATGTCGATAGTACCTTTACTAATAGGCAAAACCTATGAAGTTCAAGTGATGTCAATAGAGATTTAAATAAAAGTTCATGCACATACTTGATATTCATTAGTATTTCTTTCTCTACTGTTTTTCGACCAAGTGGAAAGCCACTCTTCACTTTCACTCGATAGCAGATGTTATGAAAACTTAACACGGCTCCTTCAGTAACCATCTTCAGGTCGTTGGAGGTTGTCCCAGGGGGCCCACTGGTGTCTCTTTGTGACATTGGGATGAAAACGTGGTCATTATTCGAAGACATCTGGAGAGTTACTGCTTTTCTGTGGAAGGAAAAGCAAGAGTAAGTTGACCATCCAGATAAATGAGACTGTAAACACTCAGTAACAGTACACCTAAAACAACTTCATCTTGGTACAACCTTCCAATTATAAAATAAATAAGTCCTGGGGATGTAACATACAGCATGGTAACTATAGTTAACAATACTAGGTTGTATATTTGAAAGTTGCTAAGAGTAGATCTTAAAAGTTCTTATCATGAGAAGAGAAAAACAACTGCGTGGTGATGGATGTTACGTAGACTTATTGTGGTGATCATTTCACAATATATACAAATATTGAATCATTATGTTGTACACCTGAAAATAATGTTATATGTCAATTACATCTCAATTAAAAAATAAAAATAGAGATCCAAATTTTAAAAAAAAGAATGACTCGTGATTCATTTTTATACTAATTAAATGTTTAAGTAAAAATGTTTTGGACATATTGGATTCAGTACCACATATTATTAACATTAAAAAAACAAGTGTTTTAAACTGCACTGCAATAAATGGCTCTGTTGAATAGCACTTATCACTATGATAAGAACAACTTTGGTACCCATGTTAGGGAGGCAGATACAACTCTGAATACATTAACTCCAATTAGATATCAATTAAACATCTAATAAGTAAATAGGAAGAGCATGAAAATTACTTATGAAGCAGGAAAAAATGACCAGACATTAAACTTATCTAGCTTTAAAAGCATATTATGATATGACTCAAGAGCAGGCAGACTATGTTATTCTTTAGGGGTATTAGGGGTATTTTTTTTGTGTGTGTAATTTTGGACTTTATGACATAGTTATTACAAAAAGGGGCTTAGCCAGGAGTCAAGGACAAGAGAAATTTCTCTGAATTTATAGCTCCAGGATTTATATCACTTGTTACTCTCTTTCAGTCAGCTCAGGAGATAAACTCTAAAATTGTTTGGGATGATACAATCATTTCCTTAATGGGCAAACATATTTAAATCCTAGGAAGATTTAGAATTAAAAATAAAAATGATTAAGAAAATCAAACTAATAGTTAAGTAGTTAATGAATTTAAAACAAAACTGAGTCCTAAATTAATAAATGAAGTTTCAAATGTTTCATTAAGGAAGTTACAAAAAGTCCCTTGAATAGATTTAATTAGGGTAAGACCTTAAAGTGAACTTAAGAGCTTACGAATAGGTTTCAAATCTGAAACTTAAATAAACCTATTTTAATTTTTAAAAATCAAAGTAATCTATGAAGAACTTTCACTCTGGCTATGACAGAGTAGCTGTTCAAAACCAATCATCCCCTAAGAACAACTGTGAAAGTAGATAAAATACAAGAAGCAACAGTTTGAAGAGCTCTCTCTGATGAGAGCAACAAAAGCAGCCAGTACCAAAGGGGCCAAAATCCTGGAAAGGAGGGAACAACACAAATGCAAACCCTGCATCCTATGCCCCTTCCTCTCGAGGCAGATTGCACACACCTGGGGCAAAACTCAAAAACACCACGTAGAAAGAAGCTACTAGAGCCTAAAAAACCGAGCAAATATTTCAGCAGTCTCTTGGTGCTAGGGAAACAAAATTTGAAGTGACAAGCCTACCAAAAAGGAGGGGCTCTAGAAACCCAAGCTTTTGAGATTCCGGAAGAGCTCAGGAACAGACCAGCCTCTACTTGATCAACTTTGTCTACCCAAAGAAAGTCCACTCTCAAAGGAGATATAATCATCCAGATTTTCAATAAAAATTACCAGGAATACAAAATAAACAAAACAGAAACAGACTTATAAATACAGAGAACTAATGGTTGCCAGGTGAAAGGGGGTTATGGGATTGGGTGAAGAAGATGAAGAGATTAAGTACAAACTGGTAGTTACAAAATAGTCATGGGGAGGTAAAGTACAGCATAGGGAATATAGTCAATAATATTGTAACAACTATGCATGGTGCCTGGTGGGTACTAGAATTATTGGGGAGGATCACATTGAAAATTATATAAATGTCTAACCACTAGGCCGTACACCTGAAACTAGTATAAAATAATATTGACTGTTACTATAACTGAACAAAATACCAGGCATTACAGAAAACAGGATCATAATGTTCCAGTGACAAGAAACTAGACCCATGATAATGCAGACAGAAGTCATCAGACATTGACATTAAAATAATTGCTTTATATAATTAAGAAAGTAAATGAAAAGAGACTATTATCAAAAACCAGAATCTTTTTATTTTTATTTATTCTTTTTTTTTAAGAAACAGAATCAAGGGGCTTGGAATAATGAGATTCCTTTGCACTTTCCAGCTGTCCCTTTTCTAGTAATCTACCTATGTCACTTTTCCTCTCTTTTTGTTGCTTTCTAACTGATTAGGCCATATTTTACTTTTTTTGCAAAGCTTAAACAGTTTTCTTCCATAGATACTGCTATACCTATTATAAAAATGATAACTTGCATTTAAAATGCCATTTTCCTGTATTTTACTTTTTATCATACTCTTAATCTGATAGTCTATGTAAATGGAGTGTGTAAGGCAATGAAAATTACTCTTAATCTGATAGTCTATGTAAATGGAGTGTGTAAGGTAAGAAAAGTACACAGGTTGATTCTAAAGTCCTCACCCAGACACCTGCCCACAATGGAATTTTTACAAAGGCTGGTAGAAGCCCGGCCAAGAGATTATAATCCTGACAAGAAGTTGGAGTTCTCAAATCACTGCCAGGTGATATCTATAAACTTATGAATGACACAAAAGTAGGACACTATTAAAGTTTGTTAGGAAAAAACAAAATCTGAATTTCAACTTCCATAAATTAAACCTTGCATTTAAAATGTTCTCTATCAATTAATGAGTTGCCTCTGATTTGACAGATTCACCCTGAAGCATCCAGTATTGACACTATATTCAGGTCCAAAGACTGCTCAGTAATGTAGAGCACTGAAGTCTTCAGGCTGAGGGAGCAATATGAGTCCCCAATAACCTTGTAGCACAATATCTTGTCCAGGACAGGACAGTATCTTGTCCTGGTACCGAGGACAAAGTCTATCAGACAGAGAAGAATAGATCCCATCACAGAAGTTTATACAGTTAGTGAGAAGCCACTGAGGTTATTTAAGCAGGAAAGTCCCATGATACTAACTAGGTTTTTAAAGGACCACTCTGGCTACTGTGTGACAAGTGTGGAAGCAAAGGCTAGTTAGAAGGCTATTACAGAAAACCAGGTGAGACATGCTTGGACAAGGGGATGGGCCTAGGTAATGACAGAGGGGGACTTCAAAAGGCCAAGGGCTCAGCACCAACTTGGTAAGTTTTAGGCATCTGTGAGATATCCAAGGAAGGGATAGCTTTGGTTAAAAATTGAGAACCTTAAACAAGACTCTTATGAATGACAAACCACCCCACTCTCTTGGGGTCTTCATTATGCAATAATGTATTGCTCTTCAATTTTAAGGACATGCTACATACCGAAGTTCAATTGAGCATCCAAGTGTGATTCGAAGACATCTGGAGAGTTACTGCTTTTCTGTGGAAGGAAAAGCAAGAGTAAGTTGACCATCCAGATAAATGAGACTGTAAACACTCAGTAACAGTACACCTAAAACAACTTCATCTTGGTACAACCTTCCAATTATAAAATAAATAAGTCCTGGGGATGTAACATACAGCATGGTAACTATAGTTAACAATACTAGGTTGTATATTTGAAAGTTGCTAAGAGTAGATCTTAAAAGTTCTTATCATGAGAAGAGAAAAACAACTGCGTGGTGATGGATGTTACGTAGACTTATTGTGGTGATCATTTCACAATATATACAAATATTGAATCATTATGTTGTACACCTGAAAATAATGTTATATGTCAATTACATCTCAATTAAAAAATAAAAATAGAGATCCAAATTTAAAAAAAAAGAATGACTCGTGATTCATTTTTATACTAATTAAATGTTTAAGTAAAAATGTTTTGGACATATTGGATTCAGTACCACATATTATTAACATTAAAAAAACAAGTGTTTTAAACTGCACTGCAATAAATGGCTCTGTTGAACAGCACTTATCACTATGATAAGAACAACTTTGGTACCCATGTTAGGGAGGCAGATACAACTCTGAATACATTAACTCCAATTAGATATCAATTAAACATCTAATAAGTAAATAGGAAGAGCATGAAAATTACTTATGAAGCAGGAAAAAATGACCAGACATTAAACTTATCTAGCTTTAAAAGCATATTATGATATGACTCAAGAGCAGGCAGACTATGTTATTCTTTAGGGGTATTAGGGGTATTTTTTTTGTGTGTGTAATTTTGGACTTTATGACATAGTTATTACAAAAAGGGGCTTAGCCAGGAGTCAAGGACAAGAGAAATTTCTCTGAATTTATAGCTCCAGGATTTATATCACTTGTTACTCTCTTTCAGTCAGCTCAGGAGATAAACTCTAAAATTGTTTGAGATGATACAATCATTTCCTTAATGGGCAAACATATTTAAATCCTAGGAAGATTTAGAATTAAAAATAAAAATGATTAAGAAAATCAAACTAATAGTTAAGTAGTTAATGAATTTAAAACAAAACTGAGTCCTAAATTAATAAATGAAGTTTCAAATGTTTCATTAAGGAAGTTACAAAAAGTCCCTTGAATAGATTTAATTAGGGTAAGACCTTAAAGTGAACTTAAGAGCTTACGAATAGGTTTCAAATCTGAAACTTAAATAAACCTATTTTAATTTTTAAAAATCAAAGTAATCTATGAAGAACTTTCACTCTGGCTATGACAGAGTAGCTGTTCAAAACCAATCATCCCCTAAGAACAACTGTGAAAGTAGATAAAATACAAGAAGCAACAGTTGGAAGAGCTCTCTCTGATGAGAGCAACAAAAGCAGCCAGTACCAAAGGGGCCAAAATCCTGGAAAGGAGGGAACAACACAAATGCAAACCCTGCATCCTATGCCCCTTCCTCTCGAGGCAGATTGCACACACCTGGGGCAAAACTCAAAAACACC